ATTAGCCTGATAAATTTCTGCAATGGACACTAAATTCTATTTATTATGGGAGACTGCTAACACACAAAGAGGATGACCAAATGACATTTTCATCATACAGTGTATTCCATTGTCTTCCAGTTCCCTTCCCTCCACAGTACTCCATCGCTAATGACAACAGCACCAATTTTCTTGAGTTGTGAAGCACAATCTGAGACACTGTTGGTATTTATTTAATAATAGCTCATAAATACAAGGAGAGGCGTGGTCTGTTCTCTAGTAAGATTAATAATCTAATCAGGTCAAAAAAAACAAAGCTGAAGGAAGTGATTTTAAAACACATATGAAGTGATAACATATATTCTAGTTATTCTGGGTCAGGTCTATGACCATGATTTTAAAGTAAATTATAGGATGGAATGAAAGTCAACAAGCTCTCTGCTCAAAGAGCACAAACTATCCAGGAACAAACATGCTAGGTGTAGCCATAACATCTTCTAAGCATTTAAATGAGATATAATATTAACATAGCTTGCTAATATTTAAAGATGCTGGTTTTGTTTAAAGCCACCCTAATAGCCCTTTCCTTTACATTCTTTCATTCTCAAGTCTTTCCCCACACAGGCCTCAGCTTTAAATCTCTCTGATACAACCAATGAAACAATATATTTTTAAAATGAAATAAGCATGATTTCCTCACTACCTAAGGAAAAAAGACAAAATTTGGGATTTGTATTATGCAGACACTTATGTTTCAAAAGACATTATAGTCTTCTCTATACTTGCTGTTTTATTAATAATTGATGTTACCCATATTTATTAAGAGAATAACATACTTTTTAAATGTACTCAAATTGTTGGTAATTTTCATTACTAAGATAATGCTCTAAGTATGAGGACCAAACAACCTATTTTTATAAACAAATTCTCTACATACAGTTTTCCCAAGCTTGAGAATGAGTTTTTCAGCATTTATGTGATCCATAAAGTTAGGATGAGATTTTCTTCTGCGATAATCTTCATCAGTAAAAGGAATGTCAGGATCTTCCTATGAAGGAAAAAAAATGTGAATGTTATACATGGCTTAAAACAGAACAATTTTTAAAGGCCTAGATTGTTAAAATAAGCTCTTAAAAATATTTAAAAAAACTGATGTAACTTTGTTTTGATTTGAAATTCTTAAAATTTCTGATTCTGATACTTGAGGTTCAACATTTTGAAAATGTCAGTAGTTCAATTTCAATTTTCACAGTAAAAGATTTTTAACTAATTTTTATAATATAAAAATGTTTATTTTCATTGTATAGAGCATTACACAAGCTTGAAAATCTCTATTTCTGTAACAATAAATTTGAGAATTGCAATAGCATACTATAAAGCATCCCACATGGTTCCTGACAATACTTAGAGAAATAGAGACATTTTTATATCTATATATATTATCTATACACTGATTTAAACATGTATTTCATTAAATATGTAGTAAATACGGGATTTTTTATGACTGAAGGACAGTGCATATTGTGGTTAGCATAGGTCTTACCTCTTGTCCAAGCAGTCCCTAATGTCTGCCTGTATCATTGTAGCCCAGCGCCTAAACTTCTCTGTCCAGTGGGATAAATTTAATAATTTTGGCAGTAAGTAGTCGTTTAGGATCATGAGAAAAGACACACTTGCTGACACTAACTTTATTAACTATTGTTGAAGTACATACTGAAATACTTTGTTTAATTGAATTTAATGCATATTTTCCATTAAATAGAAATATTCAGTTTAAAAAAAATTATGTTTTTGTATTACTTACAGGGTCAGGGGGTTTGCTTTTTGCCCAGCTCATTATTGTTGAAATGAGGATGAATAATTTTGGTGTTATAAAATGCTCTGCTTCCATATGTAGGGCTGTTAAATGAAAGCAAAGGATTTAATTTATTGAAAACTGTATTATTCAAACTGTATTTTTGCTTTTATATAAAGGTCCTGTATAGACATTTGTACCAGAATGTTCTACATGATAAGTGTTTTTAAGCAAATACTTTTTATTTCAGTTAGTATAAAATAAAGATAAGTCAGGAAAGAAAACAAAGAGACAAATGATGGTAATAAAGAATGAAATTATTGGAAATTAACATAATCTCCATAGAGCTACATATCATGGGAGGAAAAAAAAGAAACAATCTATACTGGGAAATTATTCATCTTTATTGAATGCTGAGATAGTGAAAGAAAATAAGTGTGGGTTTTTTCATGGTTGAAACAGAAAATCTACAGAATTCAAGTAAAACGTTCTTATTTTAATTCAGAGCAAAATAATTAAATGTTGGTTATGTAACTTCTGATGTTATCCAAGTGTTTATACTATAAACAGGAAAGCATAATTTAGTTTACCTATCATATAAAGAACAATATTGCACTGTCACCATAAAAAGATTCTAGATGCCTATTAGAATTTGGATATAACAATCAGAAGAAAGTTTCAGAAAGATTATTAGCAGTATTTTTAATTGGACTTTTAAGTCAAAATATATTTAAAATAATTATATAAAATATTGAAACATTATTTGACTAACTCAGGAGCAAATTTTCTACCCATCTCCTAATGTAAATAGATAAGGTGATGGTTGATAGTTATTTAGGGAAGTAACTGCCTACACAGATATGTCGTTTAAAGTGTTGGACCATTCCATGACAGCTTCTCTACATTATGAATTGGAGAGTGCATTCCATGGTTCCTTGCTAATTAATTGAACAATTCATGCAGCATTTCTCCACCAAGGAACCAAGTTTTATATTACAGTAAACTATAAATCCCAGATAATTTCATTATAAATTTATGGTAAATTCCAGATAATTTCATTACAAATTTATGGTCAATTTTGATGGTTGTAGAGCAACCAATTTTCTGTTCAGTTGATAGCTATACTAACCAGAAGCAGCCCATGTTGCTTCCTCAATTTGATTTGCATCCTCAGTGATATTATACAAAACAATCTCACACTCAAGCAAATGACTTAAGAGCTCTTTTCGAGAAGCGACCTGGGGAAAAAAAATAGTTAGAATCTGTCATTTAAAAACCAAAAACAAAACCCCAAAAAAATATCCAGAATTCCTTTTCTTTTCAAGTTTAACTTACTCATAGAATGTAGTTTTCTGACACTAGGATGTTAGAATAATTCATAAGATGGATATTAAACTTTATCTGTCAGATACAAGTAAGGTGATGAAATGTAAATTAAATGCTGAAACTTCTAATTTACAGTACTCATTGAGCTCAAAAAGATATACAATTTTTAGTGGTATTTTAGGATTCATATTTTGAGTGCAATTGTGAGTATCAAAAAAAAAAATCTACAATGTTTATAGGTATTTTAAACAAGGATCAGTTGGCAGAATGGAGAAGACATAAAAAAATGTCCATTTCCTTGCAAAATAACATCCTGTCATTTTTGTTAAATGCAGATTGTCTGCATCACTTGAGCAAGCCCAATGAACACTTTGGGCAAGAGCAGTCATTAAGATTAAATACTGTCAGCCATAATTTTCTGATTGAACAGCTCAACTGTATAGATGTTTAAATCAAACTTTACAAATATTTGAAGAGATTCTGGATAATCAATTTGAGACAGAGGCAATTTTGGTTTTGAAAACTAAATCAAGCAATAAGCAATCACGTTCTTAAAAACAAGCCTCCTTTAGTTAACTAAAATCTGGACATATCTTTATAAAAAGATGTATGTATTCAGAACAATTAGCTGCCAGTGAATGCTGTGATTTCAGTGAACAGTTAAGAAGGGGGACACTAACTTTTATTCCAACTCCTCCAGACGCAGAGGAGACAAGAGAGATACTTGAGGTGTGTGTTTTGAGGGAAAAAGAAAGCAGACCTGTGGATCATCAGGATAGATGATGTCCTATCCATAACTATCTTTTTTTAAAAATCTATTTTGAGTCTGAGTTCCTTCTTCTTACTATTTGCAGTATCAGACCTAGCAGGGAGGAGCCAACAGTGCGTAGGAAGCAGAACAAATAAAATATATGCATACAGCTTCTAGGAGCAACAAAAGACCATTTCATTAACGGTCATTGTACATGACTTGCAATATTTCTAATGTTGTCTAATGGCACTCTAAAATAAGACTCTTACTTACGGCATATGTTTCCTCTGCAAAACATGGTTTAGTACTCTCTGGTTTAGAAAGAGTACCCACTATTTGGTAGACTCCCTCCTTTGGCCTACTAGAAACTTCAGCAGCTGAATTACTTTCATCTTCCTCCTCCTCTTCTCCTCCTATGTTTTCAAGAGATGCCCCAACAACACACGTGGATAAATACTGCAATATACAAGATGCACATTTGTATGCAAATATATATTGAACCCTACACAGCTTCTCCTGATCTTGGGAAGACACCAACACTGTCTGACTAGCCCTGAGCCTGTTGTAGGTAATGTAGCTCAGAACACAGCCTTCCATTGAACAGGAAACATTAGGGACTCCTCAACCTCAGCTGTAATGTTTTGTCTTGACTTGTGTCCTACACCTCAAAATCGAAGGTGTTGATGAGTCCCTAGATGCCTCTTCTCTGCAACCTGGCTCCTCTCAGGCAGGTGTTACCTCAGAGATAGGTTCTTTCTCTCTCTCCAGTCACCAGCTGTTGCCTGAGGTCTCCCAACCCGGTTTATCCACATCTCCTGCTCCTCTCATTTTTTTCTCCTTA